CCAGTGAAATAAGAAGCAAGGTTATTAGATGAGTGTGCGACTGAGGAGGTGGTGTTAAATTGACTGGACTAGGGGATATTAGGAGGAAAGGAGGACCATCAGTTCCTATCATCACCTCTTCTGGACCTGGTCTCTGTCAGGGCTGTGGACAGTGGGTTGGAAGAACTGGGCCAGAAACAGGTCATATATATAGCACCTTATAGGTTATGGTAAGAAATTTGGAATTCAAGTAATGAGAGGTCATCAGAGGATTTTAAGAAAGTGACATTATATGATTTTTATTTTTAAAAGATAAAACCACGAGAGATTGCCTTCCTCACTACTTTCTCATTACAGCTTTCATGGCAGTAATTTGCTTTGCCCAATATCCCTTATCCAATCTTGCTTTCAACTTGCCTCTAATTTGGAAAAGATGTTACATATTCAATCCTATAGGATGTTCTCAGCTTTTGCAGACAACTTGTCATGTCCACCTTTTCCTCTGTCTGTGTGGGCAGATCATGTTTATTGGATTCTTTTTCAGTTGTTAACTAGCTTTGGCCAGTAGGTTTTGGATGGAGCATTTAATTGCAGATTTGAAACATCCTAGCTCCGTGACCTGTTGCTGTGACCACTGAAGAATCATATGGAGATAGTGGCATAGAAATGATGCAGAGAGACTACATGGAACAGAGTTCTCTACTGATCCACATTAGAATATGGTATGAAAGATTACAATTTTTTTTTGTTGTTATTTTAAGTCATTGAGATTTCGGGAGCACTTGCTACTGTAGTACATTGCCACACCACCTTTCTTAAATCTATTTTGAAAGTAAGAAAGACTTAAAATCAATTAATTTAATTCCTAATAGTAGGTTCAGGAGCTCTGGTGGCATAGTGCCTAAGGCACTTGACTGTACCAGAAGGTTGGTGGTTCAAACTCACCAGCCACTACTAAGAAGGAAGATTGAGCAATCTACTGGCACAGTGATACCACCTCAGAAACCCAACGAGGGGTTGCTATGATTTGGATCCAACTCCATGGCAGTGAGTGGTGTGGTGGTGGTTTGTCTCTTAAGTCTCTGGGTGGAATATATAATTTTCACTCAATTGCTAAGCTAGAGGTTGGTGATTTGAGCCCACTCAGTGGCATTATGAAAGAAAGGCCTGGTTATCTGCTTTCATAAAGATTACAGCTGAGAAAACTCTACAGAGCAGTTCTACTTGGTAACACATGAGGTTGCCATAAGTTGGAATTGATGGCAATGTGTTTGGTGTTTTATTGGTTTAGTGTGTCTCTTGGACCTCTGAAAACATGTTTATACTGCCTTTGTGAAAACTATGGTTCTTTTCTTAATTTGTTTACCTCTGAGTATTCCTGAGAAAAGGAGAAAGTAGCTCTTAAGACTAATGTTAGTACTAAAGGGGGAAGGAGGCCACATCTTCTGACCTCCTCTAACCACACAAGAGGAAGACAGACTCACCATCAGTAGCCCAAGGCCTATCCCTGGAAGGCCAGACATGTCATGTCCCTCCAACCCTGACACCAGCTGTTCTTCCCTCAGCACCCACCACCTCTCTGCTGTTTGATAATTCGCTGCACTGGCCACAAAGAACTGACAGCTTATGGGGTTTATTAGGGAAGCACCAGGCTACAGTTCAAATTCAGAAACAATGCTCAATCTCTCTTAGTCATCTCTCAGCCAACAGTCTCTCTCCCAGCAGTGCATGTCTCTTAGTGTCTCTCAGCAATGCATGTCTCTTGGCATCTCTTTCTCAGCAGTGTGTGTCTCTCAGGAGTGTGTTTCTCTCAGCAATGCATCTTTTGTGGCCGGCAGTCAGAGAGACTCCTTCTGCCTCTAGGAGGGCTCCTTTTGAGCTTGGCAGAGTGGCAAACTGACCAGTCATAATATCAGAATTCTAAGCACCTGAGAGAGAGTGAACTTCCCAGAACATTGTGCCACTCTCAACAAAAATACCCCAGGCGGATAACTTCAACTATCTCAGTTGCTCATGGCAAATTCCACCACAGAGTTTACAAAGACTTGTGGCTAGAAAAGCCATGCCAGGTAATTTACTACACCACAGTTAGATAAGGTAATATTAACAAGGAATTTATTTATAAATGTCTCTACAAGGAGATAACTGTGTAGTTCTGTTGTTGTTGTTGTTATGTGCCATCAAGTCAGACCCGACTCGTAGCGACCCCTCCTTGGGTTGCCGAGGCAGTATCACTACAGAAGTAGATTGCCCAACCTTCCTTCCAAGGAGTGACTGTGTAGTTCTAGATACCCTTAAAAGCATTCAGAAGAGGAAGGGTTTGATGCTTTAAAAAACAAGTACTTGGTAGAAAAACTTATGAAAATTGTTTGTACCTTATTTAATACAGACATCACTTATTCCTTCATTTGTTCATTTGCTAATTGAACATTTCCTGATTATCTATTATGTGTTATTATTATGTGTTATAAGGCCATCATTCCTGCCCTCAAGCCCAAAAACCAAAGCCATTGGCCCACAGCTCAAAAAAAAAAAAAAAAAAAAAAAGATTAGGGAGGAGAGAATGCAATTTAACAGTGAATATAAGCACCTTGTTCATTACTTTATCCTGACTGGATGTTTATTGGGGGAGGGAGTAGAGGCAAAATATTACTTTGTCAGGCCCCATGTTCTTTGGGAATCTTTACTTTCCTTCTGAAAGAGAAAAAAATAAAGGATCTATATTGTTCAGAAGAAATATGGGCACGGAAAGGAGAAACATCTTGAGAATTCAGAAACTATCAGATGGAAAAACATGGCCTTTTTGTAAGTTTCCAATTTCCCAATGATTCATGTTTTAAAAGCTTCTGACCAAAGTTTGTTGAGAGGTTGGAAAAGTGGGATACAGGACGATTTTGATTCTACAGAAGTCACTTAGTTGTGTGATCTTACATTGAATTATTTCACCTGTTTAGGCTTCATTTTCCTCATCTGTAAAATAAGATGGGATTTCCAGGCAGATCTAAGACATCTATGTGAGACATTCTTTGCCAGTTAATTGCCCTCAGTATATAAATTCTCAAATGATCAAGCTCTTCTAAAAATTATTCTATTCGGGGCTCCCTAATTATTTTATCTGTTCATCTATGTACACATCTATTATTTCTTCACCTGTCCAACAAATTTTAATTCAGCAGTTCCTACCATTGCTGGGCATTGCAGATTGAGCTGTAATCAAGAAGATATTATGCCTGCACTTCTGGATTGTAGAATAAGGGTGAATACAGACTTAAATATGTAATTATTATTCTTATGGGTACTATTAATGAGAAAGCACAGGATACCATGGGAGTACATAACTTGGAGAGCATTTTTCTTTTCATTATTGCACCCTTGAAATTCCATTTTTACCATTCTCTTTCAGTTACCCTGCCCACTATTCCTACATTTTCTGAAAATGGCTAAGTTCATCAACAATGTCCTAATCGTCAATTCTTATATTTTCAGTCTTTATATTGATTGCTCTCTGAAGCATTTCATATTACCAACCATCTATGTTTCTAGAGACATTCCCTTCCTTTTCCTTTTAAATTTTGGGAGGGTCTTTGGAGTTTAATATTAGATCCTTTTCTATACTTGCTTCTATTTGTGATTGCCTGCATCCTCATTCCATCAATTACCATCTCTATGGTTGTTGTTGTTAGTTGACATGACGTTGATTCTGACTTATGGCGAAGTGTAGAGTAGAACTACTCCATAGGTTTTCAAGGCTGTAGACTTTGGGAAGAAGATTGCTAAGCCTGTCTTCCCATTTGCCTCTAGGTAGACATCAACTGCCAACCTTTCATCTAGTAGTCAAGCCCTTAACCATTTGCACCACTCAGTGGTGTATCTCCATGGTAAGGATTACTAAATGTATATATCTGACTTCAAATCCAGATATTGTGACATTATGGGCATTTCACTTATTTAAATGTGAATTTAATTTTACTCAAAACTAAAATGATCATTTTGACAACCATAATCTTCTCCTTTTCCTTATTTCTTGATGAAATTGTGACAATAACATATATTCGGTCTTCTAGGTTTGAAGTTTTGTGTAATATGGTAGGAATATCCTACTGCACAAATTTCTCTATTTTGTTTGCTTGACCTATTCCTAAGTCAATACCCAGTTTAAAAGCCATTCTCTAAAAATATTTATTGACTCTGGCTGCGATGATGGTGGGCTCAATCATAATGGGGATCGTGGAGCAGGCGCGGTATCGGGCAGTGTTTCATTCTGCTGTGCACGGGGTTGCTATGAGTTGGAAATGACTCGACGGCACCTAACAACAACAACAACAACAACTCAGATTGAGTTGCTTTCTCATTTACAAAGCCTTATTCTTATTTTTGCATTAAAAGTTAATAGGCTGTAAGTTTTCTATTTCTTAGTGTGTCTGGACTGGAGTTGAACTCTTTATTGTATATCTCATAACTGGCAGAGAGCTTGGTACTTAGTAGAGACTCATCCATTAGAACTTGAATTCAGAATGTATTTAAAGATTCACAAACTTTTTGATGGTATCTTTGAAAGCTCGTTTTACCTGCTGGTTCCTTAGGGTATAAATAAAAGGATTTAACAAAGGGGCTACTGAGGTAACCAGCAGAGCTACTCCTTTGTTGAATGTGTCCCCTTCTTTTGCTGAGGGCTTAATATAAATGAAAAAGCAGCTTCCATAAGAGAGAGAGATAACAATCATGTGGGAAGAACAAGTGGAAAAGGCTTTTCTCCTTTGCTGGGCAGAGGGGAGCTTCAGAATAGTCCTGATGATGAATGTGTAGGAGAGAATTACTAGCACCAGAGTGATCACCAAGGTCACAGTTGCCACAAGAAAGACAACCTTGTCTATAAGGCTTGTGTCTGAACAGGAGAGTTCTCGTAGGGGCTCAAAGTCACAGAAATAATGATTCAGCCTGTTGGATGCACAAAAGTCCTGTTGACTCATTAGGGTGATTGGTGGTATAATAACCATTAACCCAGCCATCCAAGAACAGAGAACCAGCTGGGTACAGATTCTGCTGCTCATAATGGTCATGTAATGCAGGGGTTTGCAGATGGCCACATAGCGATCATAGGACATGGCGGCCAGAAGATAAAACTCTGTTGACCCAAGGAAGATGGCAAAGAAATATTGCGTGAAGCAGCCAGCAAAGCTGATACTCTTGTTTCCTGTTGTAATGCTGATCAAGAGTCTGGGAATGAAGATGTTTATGAAGGAAATTTCTAAGAAGGAGAAGTTCTGGAGAAAGAAATACATAGGGGTCTGAAGATGAGAGTCCAGCAAGGTTAGGATGAGGATAACCAGATTTCCGATGATGCTGAGCAAATAGGAGAGAAACAGAAAGGTGAAAACTGCCACCTGGAGCTCAGGGATATCTGTTAGGCCCAGCAGGATGAAGTCAGTCAACATCGTTTTATTTTTCATTGTTGAGACTTTTCGAGTGTCAAGGTACAAAAGAGACAGTAATCAAATGTGAAAAAGGAAGATATATTCTGAAATGGACAGATGAAATCTGAGGAGAACAAAAGAAGACAGACCATAAACTAACTTTTCCACAGATGATGTGAGCGAGACAGTGGCTAATTTGAATGGTGTTGGGTACCCCCTACTTTTATTTGTCCTGTGTAGGAAAGTTCCTGTCATTGTTTCCTCATCAGTCCACTGACAGGACTCTATCAGTGCCAGTGGGAAGAAAATGTTTGCCCCATAAATGATATTCAAAAAAGTTTGTAGACTGAACTAATAAAGAAATGCCTCCAGCAGTTGTCTTCTTCCAGGAAAATTGTTAATTTTCTTTCTTCTGCATTTATTTTCCTTACTTCCCATTGAACTCCACTCACTGCCCTACTTCCTCTGTCTTATTCTTTTCAGAATGCTGTTTTTCTTACTCTTCCTTGACTTTTTTTGTTTTTAATGTAAGTATAGTAATCTCTTATTTTCCTTTTAGTCTAGCTCCCTTAATTCTCTCAATGCCAAACAGTGCCAGTTCCTCATCTCCTCCTAATGGACCCTCTGTTTTCTCTGCACATGTATATGCATTATATTTCAAAGGCCTAGAACTAGGATTATGTCCATCTGTCCTTGAACCAGTCTACATACCTGTCTAGAGTTCAGTAAACATTAAATTATAATAATAACCTGTATTTCCTTACTCAAATGCATTCAGAATTTGTAGATCTGGAGTTTTGCTTTTCCATAAGAAAAGAGAGATTCTATTACATTACAAAGAAATTTTAGAAGCTTAAGAATATTAAATAAGCACTCCCATGGCTCCACTCTCAGCCAAACAATGGACAGCCCATGAGCCGAACAACTACACTAGGGAGATGCGCTCTTAGAACAGTCAACATGGGAGAGCAGAAGGGCAGCATTTGCACAGAGAGAAAGCTAAGTAGGAAAGAATGCATGAGTCAGAAGGATACAGAGAAGGGACAACCACAGGGAGGAGGTGGGAGGAGAGCTGTTACATTGTGGGAGTTGTAATCAGTGTCGTGGAACAAAATGTGTATGAACTGTTGAATGTAAAACAAATCTGCGTAAGATTTACAGTCTTGGAAAGCCTATGAGACTGTTCTGTTCAGTCCCACAAATTTGCTATGAGTCAGAGTTGACTTGATGGCAGTGGGTTTGGTTTATATATTTATATAGTGGATCAGAATACAAAGCACACTTCCTGATCTTTAGACAATTGTGTTTTGAAGGCCTCATGAAGATAAAACTAGAAAATGTAGTTAGAAATCAGACCAAAAAATAGAGTGATTAAAATAGCGAATGTTAAATCAGATGTTTTTTAACCAGGGATCTATTAAAACCTAGATTGGTTTTACTATGTCTGTGAATTGATAAAATCACCTTTGTTTATTATGTACATATGGTAATATAATTTTTATGTCATTCAAATATATTAAGAGCCATTATGTTTAAGAATTTTCAGTGACAACTTAGTTGTAAAGTTAATCAGAATCTAGATCTTTTTCTCTACTTCCAGGAAGATTGTTTTGAGTAATCCTCCCTTTGAAATAATGTTAGCTTAGTATAGACTCAAAAGGACAGGACCTTCAGGAAATTGGTCGTAACGTTTTCTATCTCAGCTGATGGTCCCATTGTGGGAGATTTGTAATCTATGATTTCTTTGAAAGCTCCATCTTTGAGCACTTTAAGAACATTTCTAAGTCTCTACTAATTTAAGAGTATTTCCAGCTCATGTGATTGGAGTCATATTGTCTGGGGATGTCCTTTTGATTTATTAAAGATTTTTTTTATTTATTGTTTTTATAAATATTTATAAGGAAGCAACTTTCAGATATTTTGAACTATAATGCATTTTACATTTGACATCCTCTCTCAGCAAACACACACATACTTAACAAAAGTTTTTCAGAACACATCTTACTACATGCAGTATAATCTGATATTTTCTACTTATTTATTTGATATTTAAGTTTTTTTAAATGTTAAATTTGCATGTTAAAGTTGCAACTCACTGAATTGATTCCATGATCTTTCTAGTTAGTTACAGCCTATAATTTTAATCAAGGGTTTGGGAAACATCACACACTGCCCAGAAACGCTTGCCTTCCTGGTTACCAACCTGGAGTCTTCAGGGAGTGGCTGAGTATTCACATCTGCATTTGTTTCAGGCTTCACAGAGAAGTAAAAATCCATGAAGCTACAAACAAGGAACAACACACTTCCTCATTTGATTATCCAAACAATTATAGTGGGATTTAGTCCTAAATATTCTTAGAGGTAAATCAAAATTTTAAGATCACACAGTTACAAAGTAATATAAAATCTATTTCATTTTCTACCTTCTCTGCTTCCTACCCTGCATTTCAAAGTAATACACACACTTTCAGGGCTTAGCTTGTAGAAAGCAATAATTCTGTTTCTTCTGCCCCTTATCAGTTTAGTAGTGATTTACTTATTTCTGTGTTTCCACTAATTCAGACTGATGCCGAATCAAAGTTTTTGGAATCCAGTCCTTTTAAAATACAGCCAATAAATAAAAGCTAAAAGAATAACTTTTAGGAGCTTTCTTTTCTCGAGGAGAGGAGACTGATGATCTTAGAACAATGTGAATTCCCCATTTTATCCCTAGATTATACTTTACCCAGAGTGACACAGTTTATATCTGCTCTACTGAGAGCATTCACTGGGGGATCAAGTGTGTGAGGAAGCACAGTTTGCCCTGGGGATCCATGGCTAATGAATGTCCTTTGTTGACAACCTTGGGAACAAACTTTAAACATATGCTGAGGAAAGAAGAGTGCAGGATAAGGGCTAGGGTAACAAGAGAGCATTACCTTGCAGAGAAGAGGAAAATTATGGGTCACAGAATTTGCCTTCCCCAGTGGGTGGACATGGTGCTTCTGCAGTGGATGTCATGGCTGGACATGGGCTTTGGTTAGAAAGGACAGCAGCTTAGGTGGAAACATTTGCAGGTCATGAAGGTCATGAAAAGTCATATTTTCTGTACATCTTTAGCCTGGTTGTAATTAGTCCATTTATAGACTATTGGCTAAAGGCCATAAGATATCAGTTGCTATATTTTGGTAGACATATGCAGAAATAAAATAGAAAACAGATAAACGTGGAATGCTCAGATTGGTGCAGGGAGGGAGCCCCTATTGACCTGCAGTCACTTCTGAGAAAACACTTATAAATTTCCAGTTTAAGTCATTGAGGAATTTGTTAAGCCCTGGGAGGACTAATCCATATGCATATAAGGACACTTTCATAGCAGTTCTTTTATCAGGTTAATCATCTATTTATGGAGAGTGCAAGCACCAGAAAACCCAGGGTCTGTCTTGGGAACAAAATGCCAAATTTGGGAAAAATATACACTGCATGAATGTTTTACAAATGGGCTCCTCAATCATAGTTCTCACAACATTGCTGAGGACCAGAGAGGTAATGTGGCCTAACCAAATGTAACACAATAATCAACAGCCTTGAATGACACATGAGACTTCATCTCCCTATGACTCACTTTCCTGTTCAGTAAAATGGGTATAATAATTCTCATTAAATAGGACTGTATATACCCACAAATATTTCCCATTTTCTCTTTTCCTATGAGGGTATTAACATAAAACTGCATGCACTAGTTGTTTCTTTCAAAATATGTCTATAGAAAAGAAAATCAAAATCACCATTGAAAACCATTTGGCTCTGTCAGATTGTAAATGCTCTATTTATTATAAGAAATCTCTTTAGAGGGAGAGAATACAAATAACACATAAGAAATGAAATGGGTGACATCACAACAGATCTAACTGAAATAAAACGGATAATATTAGGATACTATGAAGAACTGTACTCCAACACTTACCTAAACTAACACAGATTGATGTGGAAAAGTTGAGCAGATCCATAACAAAAAAAGAAATGGAAAAGGTCAGAAAAAAATTACCAACAAAAATAAAAGTCCAGGCCTAGAGGGTTGCATTGGAGAATTTTACCAAACATTCAGAGAAGAACTGATACCAATCCTACTCAAATTATTCCAAAACATAGAAAAGGATGGAATCCTCCCTAACTCATTTTATGAAGCAAGCATAACCTTTATAGCAAAA